TTTTTAGACAAAGTTAACGAGATTTAAAATTTTTCTTAGTTTCAATAAAACATACTCCTTCCATTCAAAAATGTAAAATTTTTTTTGAAGGGTTGAATATTAAAAAATGTAAGATATTTTTAGCATTTTAAAGTATAATCATTATATTTTTTTAAAAATATCCTTAATAAATAAATCACTTAATATTTATTTTAGAGTAAAATACCTTATTAAATAAGGATAAATATAAAAAATGGTATTATTTTGAAGATAATTAACTCCTTTATTGGGGTAAGATTAATATTTGATTAAAATACTTTACGCTTTTTTAACAAGAAAACATTATAAATGATTTATAAATAAAACAGAGGAGTATATATTCATGATGTCTTAATGTTTGATGGGAAGCACCGCGTGCTCATCACCAATGAATCTAAATGGTCCAGATTAAACTACTTTTTTATTTTTTTATTTTTTAAATAAAAATTTAAAATGTTAAAAGAAATATATTATTATTAACATATAGCATTGATATTTAATCACATGAGTCTACATTTAATATTAATTTTTTTTATAAGTTTTATAAATTGATCATACAAATTTAGTGTGTATTATTCAAATTCAAAATTTTTAACTTGTTATTTGTCAGATTTAAAACAATTTAGAGTAAATTTGTATTATCAATTCATAAAAAATTAAAAAATAATACTAAATTTTAACTGATCTGATTAATACCAACTACATGTTAATAATAAATATATTTCTTAAAATTTTATAAATTTTTATTTAAAAATAAAAAAGTAGTTTAATCTGAACCATCCAAATTAAATTGAACATCTAAATTGATTGCTCAATCACCCCTAAAGAGCCCTGAATGTGCTCCCATGTTTGATATGGTTAATGTGCGACATCAAACTCATTTTATACTTAGTTTCAAGCATTCCAATTAAGGTAAAAGCCAACAATTTGGAAAAGTAAAGTTTGTGTGCATGGGGATTGATGAAGAGAGGATGAGCACGGGATGTGAGTGAAGGAAGAAGAGGAAGAAGAAGAAGCAATATGAGTCTGAAGAGAAAACATAAAGAAGTGAAAGAGAAGGAAGGAACGTTATTGGAACAATGCAAACAGCTGAGCTCTCCCTGCAAACTCAGGATTTCGTCCAACGCTTCACCCGCACTTTCTCTTCTTATTTGCACGCTCTTCATGCACTCTCCTATTTCTCTCCACTCTTCCTCATCCATCTCCATCTTTCCCATTTACTCCTTGCCCACCAATACTATTTTCTTTTTATAAATCACTTTTATCTAATTAAATCATTAATATTATTGATTAGTTAGAATAATAAAATTATCTAAAAAATAAATTACTTTTCAATTTTGTGCCCCTAAATTTAAAAAGAAGTTATTTGATATTATGTGAAAAAGTTTCTTGAGAATTGAAACGGGGTCCTTTCTAAAATTTATTGAATGGTAAGTTTGAAATTGTACAGTAAAGATTACAAAAATAAGGCGAAGTGATTTAATATAAGAATTGAAAAATCTTTTAAAATATGATTAATAAAAAAGACCGGAGGAGTAGATATCTTAAGAGTTTCTGTAATTTGATCCACAATATAAGGAATTAAGTAATTATTATAATTATTACTTTTCAACCACTTCATGAAAAGATAATATTGTTAAAATTTAATTGTCATTATTAAGGCACTTGTGTTTGGTATTTAGTAGATATAATTGAAAATATTAGTCCATATGTTTAAAAATATAAAATATTTTAATTAAATTATGTCCTTAATAAATTAGTTAGTTGTCTAAACCAATTAATATTATTTTTTCATGTTTATCTTTATTTAATAAGGTGTGTTCACTTAAATGTGAATGGTTGATTGAGTAATTTATTTAGTAAGAGTATTTTTTAAAAAAGTTCATTATTACACATTAAAAAACTAAAATGTCTTATATTTTAATATTTAACCTAAGAAAAAATCCTCTTATTGTCGAGGTATTTTAGTAAAGATTAGAAAACTAATACTCTCTTCTTCCTAGATTATAAGACACTTTTAGATAAAATAAAATATGTCAATAAAGTTTATTAAATATATTTTATAACATTATTTTTTAAGATAAAAACATAAACTTTAAAAAATTTGGTAATACTCTATTGATAAAAGCATATTAAAGAGAGTTAATATATCAGAAGGATAATATTGAAATTATTATTAATGAAACCTTATTTTTTACTAAAGTATCTTATATTTTAAAATGTTAAATTTTTTTAAAGTATTTTATAATTTGAGACGAAAGGAATATTTTTTTTTTGTGAGCCTTAACGGAATGAACTATGCTCATTTTTTGAATTTGATTCTGCTTAATAAATACAAGGAATAGTAAAACTTTTAGTCCTTCAAGTTTATCTCAGTTCCAAGCTAGTTTCTCAAGTTTAATTTTTATTAATTTGATTCTTTAAGTTTGCATGAGTTATCGATTTGATCCTTATTGTTTGAATAGGAGGTATCAGAGTTAAAATTTATTGACATGGATAATAGAATCTTAATAGCAATCATACAGATTATTGAAAAGAAGTGTAATTGTTTAGATAGAAAATACAAACTCAATTTTTTTTTAAAAAAAGGAACAAAACACAGTGTAAAGGGACTAAAATAGTAAAAATTAAATAAATTTGAGGGTTAATTTGTTCTTATTTAACTAAATGTATATGCCAAGTAATCAAAATACCATACATGTTGGATTAATTTGAGAGTAAATTTATTTTTTAAAACTAAAAGGATTAATATAATAATTTAAGAAAACATGATAGACCAAATTAATAAAAATTAATATTAAAAGACAAATTGATAATTGAATCAAATTTAAGAGATTAAAAATTTCATTACCCCAATATAAAGACAGAAAACATTTTTAAGACAGCTTTCTTTATTTGGGGCTGCCTTAGCTTGAATCGAAATCCTTCGGAGCCTAAAATGACTTTAGATAGCGAATGATATGATATAATAATAATATGTTATCAAATCAAAATCAAAATATTAATAATATCTCGTATTACAAATAAAAATTAATCAATTCATTTGGGGCAATCAGCTAAGTTTACCGCGAATTTATTCATCAAATCCAAAAGACATATATACGATCTTATTAATTACATAATGTAAAAGATCACAAGGTCGATGCAAACTGCAGCAAAGATATATCTGTAACCAGAGAAAGATACTCCTAATTCCACACACACACACACAATAATCATAATAATACAAAATTTAAATTATAGGGGGAAAAAGTAATACATATAACGCTCATAACGGATAAGTTAAAATTCAATTATGACTTGAATATGAGATTTTTTTTTTATCTTTGACATTACATCACAATTAGGATATATATGCTGAATTAGAGAGTAATTTTATATGAATCTATAAATTATTTTCAAGGTCAAGCCAAAGATTGATTCCTATTTTTTTTTTGTTACAGTAATTCCTAACTAGAAAAATTTCAGTACTTTTGAGACTTGGGCATTATAATAGTTCTTCAATTCGAGGGGTGTGGATATTAATATAATCGAAAGTTAGCTAATTAATTATTTTAAAATTGATAATGAATATAAATTTAAATTAATGTAAGAAAAAAAAAGTCACGGATGAGAGTTTTGTAACATAAGAATGAATGATTAAAGTTACCAATAATGCAAAAAGTCTCCTAAAAAGTGGCTGAGTTAACGAAATCGATTATTTATTATTTTTGAAAAATAAAAAAATTAAAACTGTGTTGATAGGAGTACATTTTAATCTCAAATTTTGATAATAAAGTTATTATTAAAATATAGTGATGTGGGAGTAAGTAATAATTTGAGAGACCTTAATCCGAGCATGAGATTGCCTTGAATAGACGGGACCCACCATGGGTGAGAAGGGGGAGAGAGAAAGAAGGTGTGGGGTCCACAACACCGCCCATGCGCACGCTGTCTTACCGAAATCAAACCCATCATCCGATTGACCTAACCCTAACCCAACAACAGCGCAGCATGCATTCCAAACACCCCCCCCAACAAAAAATAGAAATTATTTTTCTTTTTGAAAATAAAATATAATCCCTTTAATTTTACCCAATTTCTTTTTTTAAAAATTATAAATAAATATTTGATAATTTTAGTTTCAAAAAAAATTTCCTATTTTATCTCCATGAAAATATAATTACTAATATTTGTTTCATGTGTGATTTAATATTACTTCATTCTTATATTAATTTAATTATTATATTTTACCAAAATTATATTTATTTATAATTAGATTGATATAAGATCAACAAATAGATAACATATAGATGAATTAAACTAACAAAATATTATGAAGATGATGGAACTTTGTTAATGAGTGATCTATAAGCATTTTTGTTAGTGTTTTTTCAAAGCCTGAAGACATATATTGGTCCTAGTAAGTTTGAAATCCAACTTACTTAAATTTTTATTTACAAAAGAAATATCAAATTTTTAATCTAGAGCATAATTAGGTTAAAAAGAAACTTTGTAGACATAACCCATATTATAGGACCAAATCAAATAAATAACTTAATATTTATTATATTTTGCGTTATGATCGATTTATAGTATTTGTCAATTATATACCACTACATATCAATGACAAATCCTTATAAATTTTTAATTTTTTTAATAATAAGCTTCTTATATATCAATAAGAAACTCTTTATATATCAATGTGAATTAGCTATACTTTCAAATTTTAAAGAATTTGGTCTATATCTTTAAGCAAGCATGCAAGATTATTTTCCACCTTATCCTTAAAAAAATTGGAAATTGGAAACATTAATTTAAATGCAAATTCTTAAATTATAAGAATAATTAAACAAAAATTAAAAATTTAAATGAAATTATAGCGGTCAAAAGCTTTTTTTTTTGGTAAAGAAAAAGGAAAAGTGGGGAAAAAAAACTAACTAAATACCACCCTCCCTACTCATCATAGTCCTCTTGTTAACCCAACAGGATCCTTTTCCTCTCTTATAACCCACTTACCTTATTTCTTCCAAACTCTTAACTCTCACCCTCATCTCCACTCTCCTCTCTCCCCCCGTCTCTCTCATCCAAATCAAGCCCTTCAAGTTCTTCTTCGGCCACGACAGATCACAACTATGATGTCTGTTTCTGCTCAAATTTTGGTCGTCTTTTCCCAAAAGTTCCTCTTCTCGATCCCTCTTCAAGGTATGTAAGCTAGCTCCTACCTTTCTTAGCTTCTTAGCTTAGCTTCCCCCATTTCCAAAAAAAGGAATCAATCCCAGAAACGAAGCCCCAGAACAAGCATCTTCTTCTTTATCTCCTTCTCCTCTTCAATTTCTTTCTCTTTCTTCTTTGTATGTTGAAAGATCAGAGCTATTTAGGGTTGTGAGGGATTGAAGAAGCAACAAAACATTAAAAAAAAAAAAAAATGGATCCAGTAGCTGCACAAGGTCGTCCTCTTCCACCACCCTTTCTCACCAGAGATCTTCATCTTCATCCCCATCACCAATTTCAGACCCATCATAACAACAATCACTCCGCCGCCGACGACGAGCAGGTCGGTAATGGCAGCTTGAGCCGCGGTCAGAAGCGAGATCACGAGAATACTTTTACTGACGGAAAGGAATTGGGTTCGAGCACGGTTTCCGCCGGAGGAGACGCCGCTGGAACTGGAGGTGGGGATAATAGCTCTAGAAGGCCTCGTGGAAGACCGGCGGGTTCGAAGAACAAGCCCAAGCCTCCGATCATAATAACGAGGGATAGCGCCAACGCGCTGAGGTCCCACGTCATGGAGATCGCCAACGGCGGAGACATCATGGAGAGCGTCGCCACCTTCGCACGGCGGAGGCAGCGTGGGGTTTGCATTCTGAGTGGGAGCGGCACCGTCACGAATGTCACTCTCCGGCAGCCTGCTTCGCCCGGTGCAGTTGTGACCTTACATGGAAGATTCGAGATTCTGTCACTGTCCGGCTCGTTTCTGCCTCCGCCAGCACCGCCTGCCGCTTCCGGGCTGGCCATTTATCTGTCCGGCGGACAGGGTCAAGTCGTTGGAGGCACCGTGGTGGGCCCGTTGTTGGCGTCAGGTCCGGTGGTCATTATGGCGGCGTCGTTCGGGAATGCAGCGTACGAGAGGCTGCCGTTGGAGGAGGACGAGACGGCGGCAGTGTCGGTGCCCGGAAGTGGAGGGTTAGGCTCGCCGGGAATTGCGGGACAACAACAACAATCTCAGCAGCCGCCGCAGCTACAGCAACAAATCGTCGGAGATCCTAACACTACATCGATGTTTCATGGTGTTCCTCAGAATCTTCTGAATTCTTGCCAATTACCAGCTGAAGGATTCTGGGGTGGAGCCAGTGCTGTTCGTCCTCCATTCTAATTAACCAGAAAATTTTCCTGGAAAAAAAAATGTTTGAAACTTTTTTTCATTATCTCTTTCTTTTTTTTAAGTCACTGTTCATTCTCCTTCTTCCATATAACTTACATAGTTTATATGCTTAATCAAAGCCTGTGATATGATCATGATCATCATCAGTAATTATGGGGTCTGCTGGAAATGGAAATTGAAGAAGGGATGTACAAATTCTCATGAATTTTTGGGTAATGGCTTTAATGTTTTAATTTTCTTATTATTATGTTCACCAGCTAATTAAAAGTGTTGTTGTTGATGTTGGTCATTGCTTCAACACCAAGCAGAAGCATCCTATTCTCTTTCTCTCCCACATTTTCTTGTTGCATTTTTCTGGTATCTTGTCTGATAATTTATCAGTCCCTCTTTCCATATGCAGCAAAAAGATATCTCGCAGAACGCCTCTAGCTTTTCTTTTTACTTTCACAGTAACACTTTTTTTTTTTCCCGGTTTTTGCGTTCTATTACACACACACACACACACACACACACACAAGTTCTAGGACTTTTAAGGGATTCAGATTCTAGGACACATGATCTACAAATAACCCCACCAAGTTTTATTTCTTTTAACAAATGAACTCCTCAATTTTATCTATTCCGAGGAATTCAAAGTCTTCTAGTTTACACATACAGCATCATACAAAAACAGACATAATCATTATTAATCTCCTTTAATTAATGTAGTACTTAGAAGTATATATATATATATATATCATCATCTTGATTCTCTCTCACTTTCGCAGCTTCTACCAAGTTTCATCATTACATCGAAAAACATCAGTTACATCTATCTCCCCCACTCTCTCTTTTAATGTAAATGATGTCTTTCTGGTGGTTTTTATCTGTTTTAGAAAGAAAAAAAGTAACCTCGAGAAGTTTCAGACATGGTGTGACGTAGTATTTTAGTATTACAATAGTAGTGTTTCTTCATTGATGATTCCAAGGAATAAGGTGATGGGAGGTTATGTGTGTGTGTGTGTGTGTGATTTAGGGTTGAATATGGAGGGTGGCAGAGATGAGCATTGGGTACAGAGTCACACGTGCGCTGGTCTGTGGCTGCAAAAAAAGAAAAAAAGAGATCATTTCCGAGGCAACAAACTCACAAAAAAACGTCCCTCAATGACCAAGCGTTTTACTCTTTCTTCTCTCTAAAACTGTCATTCCCATCAGACAAAATTATAAAAGGCCTGATTCAATGTTGAGTCGAGGTAAGAAATGCTCTAATAATTTATATGCAAACACACACACCCTTGCACAGGAACACACATAAATATAATATAACTCACAGTTTTGTCTTGGTCATGTAATATAGAATAGATTCTCCTTGAAACCCTAGCTCTTTCTCTCCTCTCTCTGTGTAATTTTATTTTTTCACTCATATTTTCACTAATGCCAACGCGTGCTTTTATTTTGTTTATTCACTTATATCATTTCTTGTTTATTATACTGTTCATATATATGTCAAGCTTTCTTGGATTCTATTCTTAGCCGCTTGTCCCAGTAGTTCCTCTTATACTTCTCATCAGGGATGACTAATAATGAAACAAGTAGAACTAATTACTAAATTATTTTCAACATATATATGTAGCTTGAAGATCTTTTCACCATCAAATAATTCATATATATGCTATAGCTTCTAAGTCGTTCTTTTGAAGTCGTGATTCTTTCAATAAAGAAGGAACTCAAAGAATCGTGAACTCAACTCCTTGTATATATGTATGTATATATGTATATTAATTGCTTTTAAGAGTCATTTCATTTTATATATTAGAACATTAGAAATTGCCCTAACTAGGTCCTTTGAGAGAATCTATTCTTTTTTGGCGATCCTAGCTATAGTGTGTATTTAGGGCACTTCTAATAGCTTAAAAAGCATATACATATATATATATATATAGAACTGATAATTCTATGTTCAACATATTAATGTGAGCACATATTGCATTTTTAGTGTGTTTCATATGTCTGCTTCGTTTCTTTGATTTTATATACATAGTTTGTGTATGTAATTAGGACTATGATGTGATGACAATTAATAATTAACTTTCTTTTGGAAGCACAAAGTGTTTGGATGAGTAACATATAAGATGAGTGGACCATGGCTATTAGTGCTTGAGATGATTATACCTTTCGGGTTTCATTATGATGAGCATCACTTGGAACCTGAAAGTACCTCATTATAACAATTCGAGATCATATTAAAAATGAAGATTCCATTATGATAGACATCTTTAATTATATTCCTTAGTTAACTTGATATATATTTTATCATTTTAATTAATATATCAATTTCTCGTCACTCTCTCTCTCTCTCTCTCTCTCTCTCTCTGTGTGTGTGTGTGTGTGTGTGTGTGTGTGTGGGAATCTGCAGAAGGTAGGTGAGTGACTCTAGAGCTAGCTAGGGCAAAATTCTATACATCCGCATCTATATACATATAGAAGAAGGGATTTAATGTTTTTGCTTCCCATTCTTTCATCAGTAAGCATGGGTCGTAATGAAAGTCACGACCACGTCTAGAATTTGAATTGAATATATCTTGAAGTAATTAAGACGTTGTATTTTAATTTGTCAGTGAAATAATTTACAACAATAAGTTTTTAGTTATTTCTATACACACTGTATGACTAGACTTCTTTGTTGTTATCTTCTCCATCTACATATATATTGAACTGATATCTGCATTTTGTTTATTTAACCTCATCCTTGTCGTTAATTCTATGTCGCTTATTTTCGGGTCTCATGGTACGAAGAGAGGAAACATATATATTTATACATACACCAATGTTTTTTTTTTCTTTTTGGGATAATAAGGGAACCATTTTCATGTTAAATTATGAATTTCTGTGCATAATTACCACTTTTTGGTGATAGTTTTCATTCTAGAAACTATTCTTTGTTGTATTCTAGTTACTAACTAAGCCACATGCAGTCCAAAATTCTTTTTTTTTTCTTTTTTTTTTGTTCAAGTCTTCGTTGATTTAGTTCATGAAAAAAAAATCAGTAGATTAAGTTTGTAGAATTTTTTGCCATGTTCTTAATTATGACACATATTCGGTACACTAAAGTAATATCTCATCTGAATAAAAACTAAGAGGCCTCGAAAACACACACACACACACACACACACACAGATTTGGCTTTTTTTTTTTTTCCTGTTTTCAGTTTTATCAAAAAAGTTGGCTAAAATTTTGATCACAGAATTTTTAAATAAGTCGAAAGAGAATATTACACACACTGAAAGCAATTATATATACGGTACATATTAAAGTCATCTAAACGAGTCTCAGAAAACAAAGACGTGAGAATTGTTGGTTGTAGAAATCAATTAATAAAGTCAACAGTATTAGATGTCACTCATTTTTTGACGGTCAAAGTTTAAAATGAAATTATGTCAGTATTACCAAGTACCAACTATATAGTTTTCAATTATTGACTGATAATTATATTTTATCAGAGCTATCCAATCAGATGATTTATATTGTTTCTTAAAATGACTACTAACTTGTCATAATCCACTGGATTTCACTCTAACAAAAAAAGTTAAAAAAAATTATTAAATAACTCATGTACTAAGCTGTACGACATATTATTATTACATTTCACTCAGAACAGTTATTATTTTATAATAATTATATACATACCAATACTCTGTAAAAATAAAACTTGTTTTTAATATATGAAAAGAATAGTTAACCTCAAAATAATGTCTTTCTACTATGTATACACAATTCCATTTAATGGTAAAGGAGACAAATGATGAAGAAAAGAATTAAGAAAATCATTATTATTAGAGGACAAGAAATGATGAAAGAATATGTATGCCCATGCTTTGATCAAGCTTTAACACTTCAAGAATTATGCTATGTTTGCTATGTCTATATATAATTAATTGACAAGTAATTTTCTTTTCTTTTTCTTTATTTTTATTGTGAGAAAGTAATTGTCTAAGACAATTAATATTGAAAACTCTCGTCTGATGATGTTATAGTAAGTTCAATTCCTCAATTATTTCACCATGATGGCATATAACTGCTGCTAGAAAAATTCGTCACTGAATCCAAAATTCTATCACTAACTAATTCATGAATCAGCTGTGATAGACTTGTCTCTATCACTACATTTTGGCATCAAAAAGGACTATCTATCCCTAACTTTTTGAAGATAATGAACTTTATCAAAAAGGAGAACTCTCAAGAGTAAAAGAATTGTGATTTTGGCCATGGGATTGATGATGAACAAGGATTTGATTTCTTTAAAGATGAGATTCATGAATTTCTATTAAGTTTTTTATTGTTGGTGAAAGTGGTTTAAATGGAGTTTTGATTTTGATTTGTGTAAAGAATTGATTGTTAATATTGAAATTAAAGATTACATTAGTTAAGAATGTTATGGTGTTGTTGATTAAATTGAACAGATCATAACTTTTTTGGGTGCTGGAATATTAAACGCAAAAAGGAATATGAAATAACAACTCTTCGATGAGAATATTTAAGTGTCTTTTTCCGTTAAGATAATATATAGCATAGGCTAGGCAACCAAATTAAACACCTTGATTGAATTAATGATTCAAGAATTTCACACCATTATCTGTGTTTACGGCCAAAACTTTAACTTAAAAAGAAATGGTGAAAGCAAAAAAAAAAAAAAACACATTGGGTTTAGTGGACCCTCTCCACACCTGAGTGGATCTGTGTCTAGAAAGTTCGGCACGGCCCAACATCAATGGGCTGTTTTTGGTTGACGAGGCCTATTTGCGCGCAAGGTTAGTGTTATAAGTAATCAATTAATTGTAATTATAATCATAAATATTTATCATCATTATAACACTAAAAAATCAAGAGAAACTAAAGATTCAAAAAGCTTAGTTTTTTTCATATAAAGAGAAAAAACTTATGATATATTTATAAGAATTTGAATTTAAACCCAATCCTTCATTTGAATACCCAAAAATTATGAATTTGGATTTAGTTTAAATTTAAATTCATTTCAAATTATAATTTTTTGTGATTTCAAATTCTCTCTACACTCTAATCATTTGAAATTATAATTACTTTAAACATCTTGTTGTCTTCACATTTATACTATTGAATATTGATAACTTTATGACTATTGTATTTTTCTCACCTCTTGTAAATTTAAAAATAGAAATAAGCTTGTTATTTTTAATTTTTTATTTTCATTTTGAATCTCAATTCATCTTTTTTCATTTGAAATTTTTTAAACTATCTAAACAAAAAAAATTAAATATGTGTTTCAAATGTGAGATTTAAAATGTAAGATTTTAAATTAAAAATTAAATTTAAATTCATCAATCCAAATGTTATTCCGGTCAATTGAATATGATTTAGATGCAAGAAAAAAAAAAGACCATTCCTTTTTTTCGTGAAGTTGAAGCCTTCGTTTAAGTGTGTCTGGGAGAATTTGGGCCAGCCTATTCTGAACAAAAGTCTTGGTGGGCTGACACTAGAGGCCCATGTTCTTCAACCCATTATAACTTTAAAGAAGGGCTTAGGACAATGCATTACTTTAATAAAAATATAGGAAGAGTAACAGGTGGGAACATTTGAGTGAAGACCCCTTTATCAGATTTAATTTCAGTCAAAGTCCCTAAAATTTTAAAATTTCATTTCACATATGAGTGATTGAAATGAAACTAAAGAGCTTATTAAAATAATTTTATTATCCCTAATGAAATAAGGCGCATGAACAACTCATGTAGGAAAATTAATAATTAATATATAAAAAATAAACAACTAATGTAGGTAAAATTTATAACTCTTATTAACAGCATAATGCTACTATGGATATAAACAAGTGAAATTAGACACATGAACAACTCATATAAAGAAAATAAACAGTTGATGTATGAAAAATGAATAACATAGGTGGAATGAGAGTTGCAAATTTATACTGGTGTTGTGCTAGTAATGAGAGTTATAAATTTCACTTACATTAATTGTTCATTTTCTATATATTAGTTGTTATTATCCCTATATGAGTTGTTCATACATCTAGCTTCACTAGAAATAATAACGCCATTTCAATCAACTCTTTAATTTCATTTCAATATCCTACACATGCAATGAAATTTCATAATTTCAAGGGTCTAACTGAAATTAAGTTAGATTAAATTCTGGAATAACAATGTCAAGTTTTGGAACATTAACGTCAGATTATTTAATAATATTTTAATCTTTTACTAGTAGGATTTATATGTCCCATACTAAAATTAAATTTATTTTGGTCTCAAATTGTCATCCTCCCAAAAATATAATTGATATTATACACATTAATTGTAAAATATTGGATTGAAAATAGAAAATTATTCTTCCTTACTGTGGAAGTGAAGTAATTATATGATTTTTAATTTTATATTTTAAAAGTTGGTGAGAGTTTTGGTCTCATTCAAACATTATGATTAAACTAGTGTAAATCCCATAGGGTGTAGAGTCTAAAGAATGAACCATATACTTCATGATTTATTAATGATGTGGTTTGTCAAAGTTTGTGTATTATATATTATTTGATTTTATTATTGTTATATATGTATAGTTGAAACTTTTTTAATGAAAATAAATTTAATAATAGGGAATTTTTAAATTTTAGGGAAGGAAAATGTAAAGTTTTGCAATATGATAAAGGAACATGTAAATAATCACTGCAGAGTATATAGAGTAATTTACTCATATTTTAAATCTCTAAATCATGACCAAAATTTCAAAATGATGAGGACAAGGTTTCACCAAATAGCTTCTTATGTAGTACACTTGTCAGAATTGAGGTTTTGAACTGAGTTTTGAAATAGACTAACTAGATCATTAACGAGATAAGGTGGGGTAGGATATAATTAATTAAGATAGATAATTCATTTTATTGTGTGAAATGTTTATTGAAAAACATTTGGCAATCCACATTTATAGTTTGAAACTTACAATATTATCAATTAGTGCGGTAGATTCATAAATACTAATTTTTTAATAAAATATTTATTTAAATGGACAAATATATTGAAAAATAAATTGGATCCATTTAATATTATAAGGCTTTTTTTCAAAACATCATGTCCAAAATATAAACATTTTGGATATTTCAAAGTGTAATTAACAAAATTTTTAATTGAAATGCTTTAATAAATAAATAAAGATAAAAATGAAAAGAGTGTATAATTTTAAAAATAATTAACTAACTCATTAAAATATAATTTAATTAAAAGTGCTTTATAATACTAAAAAGATGAGTATTAATTTTTATACATATGGGTTTGCTTTTAATTTTACAAAAATCGTGGCTTATGCATGTCCTACACTCCAATTATCATACAATTTTTTATTTTTTATTCAAATAAAGGAAAACTATTTCACATTTATAAAATTGTTCATCTCATCATTTTCAATTCTATTTCATTTTTATATCAAATAGTCATAAATATATTCAGCACCCAAAGTACAACTCAGTTTTCCCATATTTTACTCTCACTAACTCATCCTTCCAACCAACGAGCCGATTGAAAATTAAATGACATAAGTAAGGAAAAATAATAACAACAACAACATTAATTGCACATATTCCTCATATGTAATGGCTACAATTTGATACTTGAACACTGCCTACATACCCTTATTTAACTCCAAACTAATTAACAGAACTCTATAATAAAAAAGAAAAACTACAAGGCAAGACTAGATTAAGGACCCCAAATATATATATATATATATATAGAAAAGAAACTAATTAAGGATAATCAAGACATAAGAAATCGGGTGAAAAAAAAAACTAGGCAGTAAAATTAATTAATTGATGAGGTTAAGTTTGGTGGTAGCTTGATGAGAAAGCTTGTTCTGTAGCTGAGACAAGAGAGCTTGATTCTCCTGATGAAGAAGCAAAGCCTTCTTCCTCAACCTCTCATTCTCTTCTATTATGCTCTGATTCTCCATATACAGTTTCAGATTCTTCATTTCAATCTCTGATTTCATCTTCTTCTTCGTCTTTCTTCCTCCTTCCTTCGTCAATTCTGATGCCCTCCTCTTTCTGTGTTCATCAACACCGGTCTCAATCAACTCACCACACACACACACACACACACACACACAGATATAATATATATATTCAATAACTTGATATACTATGTAGGTCAGATCATGATTAAACAGTGCTAAGAGATTACCTTTTGAGGAGGGTGAATTGAAGATGCTTGTGGTGCTTCTTGGATGAAGGCCGTGGAAGGCCAAAAGTGGAAGGCACAGATTTATTTGGGGAAGAGGATCTGCACATAGCTTTTAGAGAGTGTGAGAGGGAGAGAAGAGAGAGAAGAGTGAGGACGAAGAATGGGGTATGGGTTCGAGGGGATTTATATCGGAGGAGAAGATCGAAAATGGTGATGATAATAAATCAATTGAAGGCAATCTAGTAGTGATCTTTGTGTTTGTATCTGCACAGAGAGAGAGAGAGAGAGAGAGAGGAGCAATGATGGCAGAAGAAGTCATGATTACAAGAGATGGAAAATGCAGAATGAGAACGAAGAAAAAAATGAACTCTCAGTATATTTATTTCTTTGTTTCTCACGGCCTTTATCATTACTTTTTCTTGGCAGTCCAAAATCGCCTCTCAATTCTCTAACTTGTGTTCTTGGCTAACGTTGAGCTTGGGGCACATCCAAACAGTCTTACCCCAATATATTAATGTAACTCCACTCACACTTATGATACATTGCTCGAATTTTGAAGTCTTTCAATAATATATACTTGAAAAAATTAATTATTTAATCATTATAATTTTAATTTATTTATAACTCGATTCCTTAATTTTAACTCTTTATATCTCAATTATTATAATTTTAACTCAATTATAACTATCAATCTTTAAATTTTAATTCTTATAATTTAATTTTTATAGTTTAAATTATTTAAAATATTAGTCCTTATATTTTAAACAATAAAATTATGTTAAAATTTAATATTAATATTTTAAATTACTAAATTTTTTTAATCTTTATAAAGATTACATTTGCAACTTTTATTACATCTGAGGCTCTCAAAATGAAGATATTGGCACATAAGACCCAAATGATTATGATATTCTTATGGAAGCCCAAGGACTTCATTTGCGCAATTATGCTTTCTGCGGAAGTTACCCAATTACCCCTTGTATAAAAAATAGAACCGTCATGCAAAAACGCTCTTCAATTCTGCCTCTTTTTCCTCACTCTTTCTTCTTTCTCTTCCTCCCCTTGCTATTGGTCTTCACCTTTTCAATAGTAGGGGGAGAAATTAGGGACCTAATAAGGCATCTATATTGGAGTGAGGATAAAGAGGATTTTCATATTTCTATTGAAAGTTTTAGAGTTTATATTTTTGATATTTCGTTTTTTGATTGTATAAATTTTCTGTACGCTGATATAACACATCATATCACTTAGCATGGTTTACCCGTGGCCTTTTATTTAAAAAAAAAAAAGAGCATTTTCATACGATGACTATGCTTATTATAGGTAATTAGGTAATTTTAACAAGAAATGTAATTGCAAATGAGGCCATTTAACCTCTATAAGAATATCAGAATCATTTGGGCCTTATTTGCCAATATTTTCATTCTAAGGATGCTACATTTAATTCTCCTTAACTAATAACCCTTTTATGTAGCTTGTATTAAGTTTCAAAGAATTTTTATAGATGGCTTCCTATAATAAGGACAGGATAAAGTATAGTTCTATATCATATATTGATATATTAATGATATAATTGTTAGATTTCACATGAGTAAGTGGGGGAAAAAAAGTTCTACATTGAACGGAAGTTAAGGTAATTTTTTGTGAGAAGAAAAATTGTCAGCTTTTATTGAAACTTCTGAAATGTAAAGCAAACATGTTAGACTAAGAAAAATACACACACATCATAAATTCAAAATCTTAAAACTTTGAGCTACTGTTGTATAAGGTTTGAACCGGGTTTGGTTTTACAAGGGAATTTTATAAGGGTTATATGTATGTATGTATGTAAGGTTTGAACCGGGGTGGGTTTTACGTTTACCGTGGGATCTTAGAGGGGGACAAGCGGTCATAAGGTTGTGTGGAGGGGTGGGATTAAATTAGAGGGATAAATGATAATGATGGTACAAGACAATTTGACATCACATTCAAAGGGGACAACGCTCAAAAAGGCTTTAGTCAATCAAGAAAAAAAAGTTTCATTTATATTTTATTATTTTTGGTGAGTCATTCTGAAAACAATCACTTGTTTTAGCATATACTCCTTCAATTTTATATATTAATCACATTCTAAAGACATAATCTAATTCATTTTATAGGTCATGAATTGATGAAATTATTTTATTTTAAATAAAAATTTTAAACTACCCTTAAAAAGTAAGAGAGATACAAAAAAAATTATATAATTAACTTACTTTTTAATTTTTTCTTGAAGGTTATGTTTAAAATTTTACTTACTTTTATTTTTAATATTTTTATTATATTGGTATTGATGAGGTTAGTAAAAATGACTTATAAAAAAGACCGAAAGAAGTATCTTCTAATAACATAACATGATGTATTTTTTCAAGTTTTTAGAAGAACAAATAATAATAATAATAGCAGTAGTAATGGTAATAGTAATAATAATGATGGCAGCTTATTGTTCTATAGATTCACATTTTAAAGGTTGAGTGGGGACTAGAGTGTATAGATTAAACATCACCGCAATCAACTGATCCTTCGCACTAAAAAGCTCAATTCAAGACAAGTACGTGTCTGTGCGTGTCTGTGAGAAGTATTCATTGTCAATAGTAGAAAAAAAAAAGTTTAATTTGTATAAATAAAAAATAAAAGAGATTCATTGTGACTAATTACTTGTAAAATCAATATATATATATATATATATATATAACACAAAAGTAAGGGGGAAAAATCGGCAAGAGGGAAGTGGACCCTTCTCATTCATATCCCTACTTGGTGTAAAACATTAAAAAAAAAAATATGGGGGGGTGTGGGATTAAAAGTATTTTTTAGAATACAAACATCTTTTTCATGCTTTAAAAAAATAAAAAATTGCATAAAACAGAAATGTAGTCATGAATAATAATCATCATAATATATATAATAGATATACATTGCATGCTTTAAAGGGAGAAAATGACTATAGACCCAAAAGTTTAATTTAATTACGGTATAGTTCCAAAAAACTTTACTAAAAACTAAGCTGTAAACATCATTTTAAATGGTTGCATAATTCGCAAATATAAAATTATCAATTACAAACCACTGAGATTAACCTATGATGCTTGAGTACTTAATTTGCAACTTATGTTCTCATTTTTATAACTATATTTGTAACTCACCTTTTTAATGACAAATTTAAGACCTTGTTATCATTAAATTAATCTTTTTAAACCTAAGTGCCATTTCTCCTACTTAAATTTCATTCACGGGCATCACTTACTATCTTTGTCATGGGTAACAAAAGTATAGTTTTGGAACCAAAAAAAAAAAAAGAACAAGTATGGTTTAAAAATTTTTTTTATTTAGACACCATAGTCAATAACATAGATAAAAATAAATAAATTTACACAATTTAACATTATCATGAATATTGAAAAAATGTAAAATGTATGCAAAAAAATATAACCATAATACTAGCCAAAAACAAAAATAAACATAGCAAGAAGTCTTAAATAATGAATCTAAGCTTTAAAAATCATAATAAACAGTCACACAATTAGAGTAATCTCAGAAATTTGATCAATGAATTAAAATTAATTAGAGGACCCCAAAGGAAAAGTCAAACTACAAAAAGAAAACAAACGGAAGCAACATGGTCAAAAAGTTATACTTTGTTTCATATATTAGTTAAGATAAGACTGGACTTAAGTACATAAGAAAAAGTTTAGTTTTGCACTAATCCTTTTCAATCCTTCTTGATTTTCACATTGCGTGTAAAGTTGCAAAAGTGTTTACGTTTGTTGCCGTGTTGGACTTCCAACTTGGACAACGCAATTCAAAGTATTGCCATTGTGCTTAATCACTTGCTTTTATTGTATTTAAAACCAATGTAAACTTTGTCTATTAAATAATTGATTTTAGTGACCAAAATAAACGAAGATAATGACGCTCAGGTATTAGGAGTGAGATCCAGTAAATTATCTAAAATATATAAAAATAGGTATATATAAAACAAAAAATTATAAAGATTTAATTTTTTTTACACCATGCAAATTACAAATTTACAACTATAATCACTATCTACAACAATAACTTAAAATATTTTTCTAATTATTTTTTATTAAGTTTTTATACCAACGCTATCCTCCAACTTCAAGGTATTTAAGGTTGGCCAAAAAAACAAGGGAGAATTACATTCAATCCCATTCTCAAGAAAATTTATCACATACAAGAACCAACAACAAGTCTCATTCAAAAAAAAAATTAGTCATATTTTTATTTTAACAACAATTCATTTTATATTGATCTTTATCTGTGATTAATTCTCTTAAAAGGGGTTTTGGATGTGATTTTCCCAAAAAACAAAAAGCATATAGAATAAGCATAATTATATGTGTTAGTCTTTTATCAATAAATATCCATTCAAGATTTAATAAGCTAGAAAAGCAACAATACATTAGACTTGTGCTTTTAATTATCAACTATAAATATCTATTTAGGTTTTGATAATAATTCATTCTAAATTAAAAACAGTCCATTCGAGCTTTAACAAGTTAAAAAAAAACGGATAAGATAGGTTTAATTATATGTGTCAGTCCTTCATCAATAAGTGTATATGTAGGTTTTTACAACAATTCATTCAAATTAACAACAATCTATTTTGGTTTTGACAACTTAGAAAAATTAAAAGAATAAGCTTAATTATACGTGTTAGTCCTTCATTAATAAGTATCCATTGGGTTTTGATAATAATCTATTTGTTATTAACAACAATATATTTAAACTTTTAACAAATAAAATGCATAAAGTTTTAAAACTCCCAATTTATAATTGTTCATATCATATTAACAAGTAATATTTATAAAATAATAAATTCTATTCAAAAATTAACACGCTATTATGTTATAGCATGGAAGTGGTTCGCAGCTTAGTTTACTACTTATATTATATATATATATATATATATATAATTAAATGGCCACCAAGCTTTTTAAGTGGTTAAGGATCATAGGATCAAACCCTCCCTTAGCCACCTAAACCAATTATTCCTTGAATAAAAATGTTGCTAGCTTTGGAGCTTCGATGTAGCTAGTAGCAGAGGCTCTAGCAACCTCACTATTAACAGTGGTTGATGTTGGTAGTAGTGTGGGTTTCTATTTTTTTTTTCATTTTTCAACTTGAGAGACAATTTGGTCTTTTGAATTTGAAAATTAATATCAATCAAGGATCAAGGCACTGCAATACAATTTTTTAGTCAATTGATCCTTGATTAATATTAATTTTCCTCAGTGATCCTTCGGTGCTATTTTTCATTAATTTTCTCAAATAGTCATGTTTGTCAATAT